GCATTTCTGGATAAAAAATGCTAGAATTTTGAAAAAGGGTAACAACAATATAAGTTGCAAATTAATTGAATTTGTTTTTATAAGAAATCTTGCAAAATAATTGCGTTTTTCATTAACAGAAAATACAGGATTTTTTCCAAATCATTTTGCGTGATCCAAGAGAGGAAAAGTTGACTTTCTTTCATCATTGTTTGATTTTTCCATCAAAACACAATGATATTATTTTATTAAAATTACACACCCTCGCGTTTAATTATCATCCTGAGGCATTCTGAAAACGTAACCTCGTTAAGTAAACCTGAAAGTTCATCCAAACAAGGTTAATAATGTTAATACAGCCGAGGAATTTTACAAACTTCTCGTCAATCTAAACGTTACATAATACAACAATTCCAATAAGTTTCACAAGAGTGACAATGAAAAAACAACGCACATACTTTTAATTTTTTGTAACCCTGCACGAGCAGTGAAAGTCCAATTAAATTGATCAATGATCAAATACTTTCTAAAGTAGGTAATTGAATTTTACCTAAATTCACAATCACACATGAATCACTTTTTTTTTACAAAAATCAATCACATTTCACATTCACGCCACGACATTACCGTAGTCAATGAGCATGTGATTGGGATGATTCTTCAGCAGTTCCGACATGTCTGAGAAGTGGAGCCCCCACTCGCTCAGTACGACGTTGACGCTGTTCACCGTCAGGATCGAGACGGCCATGTACAGCAGGAATTCCTGGCGTCGGGGCGACAAGCGTCCCAGACAGGACAACATCCCGCCGACGATCCCGATGATGACATTCTGGAAAAAAACGGGATTAATTAGGAGGGAAAGTGGGTGTAAGTGACACGGGCCCGGAGTCATGCGGAGAAATCCGGGTCTTATGTCATTTACCCGGAGGGCGCTTGATGAAGTACCAATTGAAACGCAATAAAGAATGTGCATCAAGCAGTGATGCCAGATGAAATTGTAGCTTCCAAACTTCCTAGAATTCCCTAAACTACTTAAAAAAATTAAAAAGGTACTATTTCATAGGCCTATTTTGTTGAGGTAATATAATATAAATACAACATAAAAATGTGTTAACTCCAAACAACAAAAAATCAGTAAATAATACAACAATATAGTAATAGTAAAATAAATTTTACTAAAGAAATAAAAAAATAAAATACAAGTCAATTAAAACAAATTTAAATAAACGTGTATATTTAGATAACTACTTAATTTTTATTTATACTTATAAATTATAGGATTTCATTAATTTTAAATATTCATCTAAAACATTAAATGAATTGCAATAATTAGTAAACTTGGCAACGCGAAAAACGCAAACGGCTTTTAGTGCACTTCCTATCTTGTTCTTTTTTTTGTCTTTACACATGTAACTACAGAAAATACATTTTTGGTTTCCTCGTTCTACATACAAATGCGCTAACTTGGCGAAGTTACACAATATTCATACTAAACATTTTTGAAATTGTGAAAGTGTGAAAAAAATTATAAAATCTTGACGTTTTTACTGAAAATGTAAAAAATCCCTAAATTATTAAAAAAAATTGAAAAAAGCCCTTTTTCCCTTTTTGTTTGAATAATCCCTAGAACTAAGGAAAAATTCCCTAATCTGGCATCACTGGCATCAAGTAGGTTGTACAAGTCTAAATGCATCTTTAATTTAAAGGCCGATTCACACAAAAAGTGTCATTAATCTGTCATTCAGAACAAATTTAAGCACATTAATAATGACAAAAATCTTTATGTTTGCTAGCCAATTTTAATTACGTTGTTAATTTTAATTATTTTTTGCTACCTGGGGCACACATTTATTTTAAAAAATAATTTGTAGGGAAATTTGAGGTTAGGATTGTTTGAATTTTTGCATGATTGCCATCTTAAAATAATCCCTTACAAATTACATTATTGTTAAATTTTTAAGGGAAATGTCAATAAAACGTGGCGTTTGCCTTTTCATCGTTTATTTAGTGTACGAGGGGGGTTTAAAAATAGACATACGTTGTCAATAATTGTATGTGAATATGTCTGAAAAAGTGACAGTTGGCTAATTTATGAGTCCACGGTTCAATTCCTGCGTTTATTTTTTTTAATTTATTACAACTGAAAAATCACGAAATGAAAAAGCAAATAATTGATTCGCCTTTCAAATGACATTAATTTATAACACGCAAACACGACTAATTGTGTTCGTCCTCTTATTGTTTTTCAAAGTCGATAAAAACCATTTAAACGTGAAATTAGTGACTTTGATTTGAACTCTGAAGTAAATCCATGTTTTTGACACTACGAAGTGGCTTACACTTTACAATACAGATAAACAATACACAAGATTGTATCTGGAAAATGCTTTCGAACAATAGCACAACGTGCTTTGTGATAATGGATATGTGTTTAAAGCTATAACATATTGTGTTTTGCAATTAAGGAATTTTTCTCATTAGTATCAATTCGCTAATTGAATCTCAATTTTAAAATTTATTTCCCTGGTATTATCCAATGCAATAAAAAACACTTTCCCTCTGTAATTGCACGTAACGAATGACATAATCACGTGTCGGCTTTTATACGATTAGAGTACATATTTAAAGAGTTAATGTATGTAAATTGTTCTTGTATACAGAGTGAACCAAGTTTTACTACCAGATATCCCCTTCCTTCCGGTCTGTATGAATTATAATTAACAGCGTCACAAAACCTTGTTATTGCCATGTTTTGAGAAAAATCTTTTATTTTTATGTCAAAAAAGTGTTCTGTTGATATTCTGAATTGGAAAGAACTTTTCTATAAATAATAAATTTTGACAATATTTTTATTGTATTTGTAAAAAAAATCACATTACACATTCAATTTTTTTTTCGAAGTTTTCGTTCATTTGGTAAATTTCCTATCAAACAGTGCAAACTAATTGAAAAACACTCAAAAATACAAAATATTGTGTTTTTCGACTTCTTTAAATGATTCTTTGGTTTACTTTTGTGTTAATTTCGAAAAATAATTGCATTTCTGACTAAAAACGTGCTAAAAGTTTTATTTAAAATGTAACAATAATAGTAGTTTCGACCTAGTTAGGTGACTAGTTTGCATAATAATTGTCTAGTTAAAAAAAAATATAGAATTCTCAAAAATGGCAAAAATAACGTAATTTGCAAACTAAGTGGGTGTTTTTTTGTTTATTTTGAGAATAATTTTGCAAAATAATTGGGAATTTGCATGAAAATACTGCTTAACGCTTGAAAAATTAAAAAATTATTACATTTTTGAACTAGTTTGGTGTTTGTTGATTGGGTGTAACGTAATTTTGAAAATTTATTGCGTTTCTGACTAAAAAACCTAACAAAACTCTCATAAAAATGCAACACTTATGTGGTTTTCAAACTAATTGAGTATTTTTTGAACTATTTCTGTCGTAATTCTGAAAAATAATTGCGTTTTTCACTAAAAGAGAATGCTAGAACGCTCAAAAAGAGTAATTTGCGAACTAATTGAGTGTTTTTTGACGTAAATTTTCAAGATAATTGCGTTTCTGGCTAAAAAATGCTAGACTTTGTAAAAATAGCAACAAAAATATAATTTGCACATTAATAGGGTGTTTTTTTTTTTATAAGAAATTTTGCAAAATAATTGCGTTTTTGACAGAGTGCTTATTGACCGATTTTAAAGTAATTTTAAAAATTTATTGTGTTTCTAAAACTCATAAAAATGCAGAAATTATCTAGTTTTCGAACTAATTGATCAGTTCTTTTTTGTCTATTCCTGACATAATTTTGCAAAATAATTGGGTTTTTGACCAAAAAAAATCTAGAACGCTCAATAAGGGCAAAAATAATGTAATTTTTAAACTGATTGGGTGTTTTTTGACATATTTTTGACGTAATTTTGGAAAATAATTGCCTTTTTCACTAAAAGAAAATGTTAGAACGCTCAAAAAGGGTAATTTCCAAACTTATTGAGTGTTTTTTGATTTATTTTAACGTAACTTTATAAATTAATTGCATTTTTGGATAAAAAATTCTAGATTTTTCAAAAAGGGTAACAACAATATAAGTTGCAAATTGGGTGTGTTTTTTGCAAAATAATTGCGTTTTTGACTGAAAATACTGCTATTTGCTCAAAAAAAATTATAAACTATGATATTTTCTAACTAGTTGAGTGCTTATTGTCCGGTTTTAACGTAATTTTGAACATTCATTGTGTTTCTGATTAAAAAACATGCTAAAAATAAAAATGCAAAAAATCATGTAGTTTTCGAACTAATTGGACAGTATTTTTGTCTATTTCTGATGTAATTTTGCAAAATAATTACGTTTTTGACTAAAAAATTCTAGAACGCTCAAAAAGAGCAAAAAGAATGTAATTTGCAAACTGATGTGTGTTTTTTGGTTTATTTTTGACGTAATCTTGCGTTTTTCACTAAAAGAAAATGCTGGAACGTTAAAAAAGGGGTAATTTGCAATCTAATTGGATGTTTTTTGACTTATTTTCACGTAATTTTGCAAAACAATTGCGTTTCTGGCTGAAAATACTGCCAAACGCACGAAAAATTTAAAAATTATGATCATTTTGAACTAGTTATAAAAACGCAAAATTATGTAGTTTTCGAACTAATTGAGCGTTTTTTTGTCTATTCCTGATGTAATTTTGCAAAATAATTGCGTTTTTGACTTAAAAAATGCTAGAACGCTCAAGAAGGGTAATTTGCAAACTAATTGGGTGTTTTTTTTTACTTATCTTGACGTAATTTTGGAAAATAATTACGTTTCTGGCTAAAAATTTGAAAATTATGATATTTTAGAACTAGTTGGGTGCTTGTTGGCCCGTTTTAACGTAGATAGTATTAAAAATTTATTGCGTTTCGGACGCAAAAACGTGCTAAAAAATCTCAAAAAATAAAAGTTATGTAATGTTTTGAACTAATCGGGCAGTTTTTGGGGCTTATTTTTGAAGTATTTTGCAAAATAGTTGCGTCTTAGACTAAAAAGTGCTAAATCGCACAAAAAGAGCAGAAATAATTTGATTTGATGGGGTATTTTTTGGCTTATTTTTAAGATAATTTTGCGTTTCTGACTGAAAATACTGCTAAACATTATGACATTTTCGAACCAGTTGAGTGTTGTTTGGCCGGTTTAAATTGCAAATTTATTGCATTTCTGTCTAAAAAACGTGCTAAAACTTTCATAAAAATGCAAAAATTATGTAGTTTTCGAATTAAATGGGAAGTTGTTTAATCGGTTTAAGGTAATTTTGCAAATTAATTGCGTTTTTGACTAAAAAAGTTGCTAAAACGATTGAAAAAATCAAAAATTAGATAATTTTCGACCTAATTGTGTGTTTTTTTTGGGATTTTCCTTTGACGTAATTTTACAATAGCATTGCGTTTCTGGCTAAAAATCATTCACCAAATGACAAGAAACGTGTAATGAAAATAAATAAATTCCACTCCGTGCGAGTCCGAAAAATTGTTAATATTTCATGATTTATCACCGGTGTGGCAATAAAACGTGTGCGGATTTGGCCATTATTCCGAATCGAATGGAATTTTAAATCGTGGCAATTGATTGCGTAAATTGGCCAAATGTTGTGCTAACATATCTGCAGGTGCCAATTAAATTTACATGGGAATTGTACAAGCATTCGTGCATGTTTTACGTCTTTGACATTTCCGAAATATGTAGAGGACGACGGTCAACGCAAAGGAAACGGATATTAATGATTATACACATGATTACGCGGTTTAATTACAAATTAAATAAATAACACAGATTGGTTACATGGCAGCACATAATAAGTGA